TGTGGCTACAATGTAGTTTGCCATCATCAGTGTGTGAATGTGAGTGTGAATGGGTGGATGTCTGTTAGTGTAAAGCGCTTTGGGGTCCGGAGGGACTTGAAAAGCGCTCGATAAGTTCAGTACCATTTACCAGTACCATAGACCGACAGACAGTTTGATAAATAGACGGGCAGACATTTGGATAGATACACGGACAGACATTTGGATAGATAGACGGACAGGCAGCTGGATAGATAGATGGACAGACAGCTGGATAGATTGACGGACAGAGAGTTGGATAGATAGATGGACAGACAATTGGATAGATTGACGGACAGACAGTTGGATAGATAGATGGACAGACAGTTGGATAGATAGATGGACAGACAGTTAGTTTGATTGGTAATTTCTATGATAGAGGCAGCCCCCTTCCCTCTATGTTGCCTTACACAGACAGGTTGGTTCTCTATGCTATAAGATTTCAATGTTGAACACAACATGACACGACACCACTCATCATACAACTGTTCCAAACGCAGCTGTCTCTGCACCGGTGTTTATGGCAGCCTACACAAACTCAGTCTGACTGATGCCAGTTGTAGAGACAGTGTACAACAACATGGGATGTTGTAGGAAGACCAGTCTTTGTGTTGTGATGGTAGGCATAGATGTCATGGGGTTCTGTAATACTTGGTGCACAACATGATGATTCTTCTCAGTCTTGGGCAACCTGAACATTCGCTCAGATTCCAACATGGTGCTACTATAAGATCTGCCACTGCGGACATTGGACCTCGTGCAAACCCACAAAGCAACACATTAACTGTAAGTTATGTTGTCTGATGGGGTGTCTGTCTAAATCCTGACTGATATTCCATGAGAAGTGTCTCATGATTGCTCAACAAAAAGTGTATTTTCTTCAATAACCCTTCATTGAGACCCCATCTTGTACATTGCAATAACAGAAGTATAGTCTTGCATGGTATACTCCAAGTTTTGTATGATTGGTCAGAACTTAGTGTTCATGTTTGTAAAACGTGTCTGCATCATGCTTCGCTCATTTCTGCTACACTGAGGATCTGTTAGCCAACATTAACATTGCTCCAGCAAAACATTGAAAGACTGGATAAAACAATCTCATGTAAGTAGTAGATTGGACAATTTTAGCTCACAGAGGAGGGTTCAATCCTCGGTTCAGATCTGGGGTCTTTCTGTGCGGAGTTTGCATGTTCTCCTCGTGCTTGCGTGGCTTTTCTCCGGGTACTCGGGTTTCCCCCACCTCCCAAAACATGTACAACAGTTTGCCTTCAGGCCCTAGATCTCAGATCTATGGAGGACCAAACCTATCATTATTGGAAATAAATGTATAAATATTTAAC